CATACATACATACATACATACATACATACATACATACATACATACATTTAAAATGCACTGAAATCTTGAAAACCTGGAAAAATCTTATGAGATTCCAGGAAAGAATCCATTTTTGGCCACTTACATTTTTTACTTTATTTTTGCAGCTGTTACATAAACCATCTGTCAAGGCTGACTCATAACACACCTCTACTTGCAACTTGACAACAGAAACAAAGGGAAGGGAGAGGACAATTCTTGGAATATATTGGGAGCTGGGAGGGAGGTGAGGAATTTATGTGAGCTGTTTGCAGTCTGAGAAGCTGCGGATCTTCAAGGCCATGTGATAAGAACCTTCTGAAGGCATAGAATGTTTTCTCAAAATAAAAAGAAAGTGTTGGATTTCTGGACAATGGTTAATGGATAGTTCAAATAAGAAAAAGGGGCAATTAACTATGCTGTTTTTTGTGTGAAAACCTCAGAGCTACTGTTGCTTCTTCTGTGCCTGTATGGACCTATCAGTAAAATTATACTCTTGGTAAAATAATGTCCTATATGCCAATAGGACAACTGACACCATCTATAATATCTTCCAAGTGATCTACAGACCTCAGGTTGCAAACTACTGAAACAAAAAAAAGAAGCTTTTGACAGTTACCTGAAAATTGTTGTACTTGTACAATGTTCCTCCAGTATGAAAAGTGACAAGGCCCATGGAAGCGATATCTGCATACTGGTTTGGGAAAAGAAATAGATTTACACAGCAACTGTTGGCAACACAGTCCTTGGCTAAGGCCTCATAAATATTTGTCTGGGCCTGAAACAGTGTCTGGAGAATATAAAAGAATATAAAAGAATTAAGCATTTTAAGTAACCAGCAAGCAAAAGAACAAGATGTTGCAAAGAATAAAGAGGCAAACAAAAACATATATGAAATTAAAATATAGTTTTAAGAGCTAAGCACTAACCAAAAAGGCAGCTGCAGGTTTTCTTGACAAGAATATACTATCTATTTCAGGTACTAATCAAATATATAAATGTATTAAGAAAAATTTACACAAATATGTTCATGCACAAATATGTTCATTAACTGGAATAAGTAGTCTTCGCTTACCAATGGTTACTAATTCGCTCTGCCTACTAATTTTGTTAACTTTGTTGCTAAGCATTGAGATTGTAAAGTACAGTGTTATGTGACTGCGACGATTTATGACTGAAGTTTGGACAGTCCCAGCTGCCATCATAAAGCAAATCCCATACAGCCACAGCATCCTGCAACCACACAATTGCCATTTGCTACTTCCAGCCAGCTTCCCTATTAACTTTGCTTGTTGGAAGCCTGCAGTGAAAGTCACAAATGGCAGTTACATGACTGTGAGATACTGCACTGTTGTAATTGTGAGCTGGTTACCAAGAACCTGAATTGCGATCTAATGACTGCAAGGATGCTGTGAAGGAGGGAACAATGAGAACCTGTCATAAATCTCCCTCATTTGGTGCCATTGTAACTTTCTTTGCTGGAATGAGTGGATATTAAGTGAATATTACTGTATATATGACTGACACAAATTAATTATTTGAAACAAAAATTTTGTGACACACAAACGCAACTGAAACTCTTCTGGGAGCAGAAGATGCTAAGTCCAGTTTCCCTTCTTCTTGTAAACTCCTTATAGCCTTCTGGATGAAGAACTTTTCTACCAGAGAATTCTTAGTATCACTAAGCATCCAGCCCTTGCCCAACTCCAACTACTACAAAAGAGGGTGATCATTTTTAATTGAGATAGCTCATTAAGGCAAATGATCCAAACCTTCATATCACTCATTTTACAGTAGGGGTTTCCCACCCAATATTTACTTTCTTCTGCCTCCCAAGCAAAGGATTTTTTTTTTTTTTTTTAAAAAAAGAGGATCTTAGATATCAGTGTCCAAACCGATATGGAGATATTGGTTAAAAAAACAGATCTTTAAACTGGTTGATTAGGAAAAAAAACTCAAAGCCAAAAAAATATCAGACAATGAATTAGAGGCAATTCCTAAGAAGGGTCTATTCTGGTGGAAGAATTGAATTGTTGGAATCCATGGCCTAATATGGGAGTTTCCTTCATCTGCCATATTATGAGAGGATCTGTATATGTTTTCATGTTTTATTTGATCGTCAATTGTATGCTACTTTTCGAGTTAGATATTTAAAATTCCTACTTCAATGAATAGCTCACTAGGACCTGAATCATAGATTCTCCTATTTCCTCTTTGATTCTAATATATATGTTGTTAGCAGAACTGCAAAGCTGATAGACAAAGCAGTGGAACTAAGAATGTGTTATATTGAAAGTCATGGTATAATGTAAAGGCAGTATATTTATTCGAACATTAATTCTTTGTATTTCACCAGATATGTATTTCATTATTGTATTTTCTTTTAGCTATTTTATAGAGTTTACATTTTATTTTAAATATGGTTATACATTTAATTGATTATCTATCTCTCTATCTCTCTAATTTTTTATCTATCTATCTATCTATCTATCTATCTATCTATCTATCTATCTATCTATC